AACTATTGAGGAATTTAACTCCTTCCGGTATGTTATAAAATATTCACTTTAATCTTAACCAGTCGAATCACGGAATACGCCGAGGAAATTATCGGAGAATACCAATGCGGATTTAGACGGAATCGTTCGACTATTGATCAAATATTTTCTTTACGGCAAATATTAGAGAAAAAATTGGAGTATAACGGTATTGTTCACCAGCTGTATATAGATTTTAAAAAGGCTTACGATTCTATTGACCGCCAGAAACTGTATAATATTCTAATCGAGCAGGGGATTCCAAAAAAACTAGTAAATCTAGTCAGGATGTGCTTGACGGAGACACTCAATAAAGTTAGAATCGGTAATAATTTGTCCGAAAAATTTGAGGTTCGTTCGGGCTTAAAACAGGGGGATTCTCTTTCGCCTGTACTGTTCAATTTGGCATTAGAACATGCCATTAGGGAGGTAATGCGAACCGAGAAAGGGTTGGATCTGGGCGGGACAACATCCGTTCTGGGCTATGCTGATGATCTGGTACTGTTAAGCGAAGACGTTGAAACTATAAAACTAAATACGACAACGTTAATGAAAGCCGGTAAAGAACTAGGACTCGAAATAAACGTGGATAAAACAAAATATATGGTTAGCTGCAAAAATGGCGATAGTACTGGTGATATCGATATAGATGGTAATATGTTTGAACAGGTAGATAAATTTAGGTATCTAGGTTCTACGATAACTAGAAAGAACGAAATTGAAGAGGAGATTAAGGTTAGACTGAAGGCGGGAAATGCTTGTTATTTTTCTGTGACAAAACTACTTAGTTCGCGCCTCTTGTCCCGGAACTTAAAAATTAGAATCTATAAAACAATTATCTTGCCTACAGTTCTTTATGGATGCGAAACTTGGCCGCTTACATTAAGGGATGAACAGCGTCTTAAGGTTTTTGAAAATAAAGTATTGCGTAGAATTTTCGGACCGAAGAAGGATGAGTTAACCGGAGAGTTCAGACGGTTACTCAACGCCGAATTGCGTGAACTGTATCTGGGTAATATAATTGAGGTAATTTCATCGCGGCGAATCAAATGGGCTTGTAAAGTTGTTGGGCTTAGTAACGAGAGAATTCCTAAAAGGTTAATATTTGCTGTGCCGAATGGTAAGCGTCCGAGGGGTAGACCGAAGCGAAGGTGGGAAGATTGCATTAAAGCCGATCTGAAGGGACTGGGTTTGGACGGCGAACGGTGGAGGGAGGTGTGTAACAAGCGATTGGTGGTGTCGGCATCGAACCTTAGGGTTCGCTAAGCCTTATTATTATTATTATTATTATTAATGGATATACTTCGATAAACATTAAAAAATCTAAATAATTGTTTTAAAGAATTTGCATAATTAATAGAACTAAACGAGGAGAAAAATTATGACTTAATCTAAGTTTGAAACTTTGTAACATGTAACTGAAATAATTGAATAATGTATATTATGTATATAATGTATACATATATATTATTTATTATATATATTATTATATATTTATTATATATATATATATATATATATATATATTATATATATAATATATATATATATATATAATAAATATAATAAGTCTCATAAAGTCTCTTATTTAGTTTATACGTCTATAAAGCAAAAAGGTTTAACTAACCCAAAGGTTCGATACCTATACCACCAATTACATTACACATATAAATAATAATAATAAAAAATTAAAAAATGTTTAACCACATCGTTCAGGTATTTTGAGTTTAGTACTTTGTTAGGAAGTATTGTTTCAAGGTCAACGGTTGTGTAGCGAGATGATCAGGCTAGAATCACGCTCAACCACCATATTTTCTACCTTAGTTAATTATTAATTAATATTACCCACTTTATAGAGGCTGATAAAAAATTACTTGGAATCAGCTGGATTTGAATCTGGATCTTGAACATAGCAGTTCAGTGGTAACTCACTCAGCTAATCCGCTCCCCAAATATAAATAATCGAGAAGGACACAATAAACTTTAAAAATTCACATGAAAAACAAAATTACGGCTTTAGTCTATATTCCTGAAAACTAATGTCTGTCTGTCTGTTTGTCCTTTCTGCATTACTAAACCATTCATCCGATCGCCATGAAACTTTGGGAATTTGTTGCGTACACTCCCGCGAAGGTTTCTAGCAAAATAATTATGTCCTACGATAATTTGATATGTGTAAACAAAATAAAGATGTAATTTTTTTTTTGTTTAAAACCGCTGATCTTCGAAAGTTCTTCACCGATTGCTTTGAAAATTTGACACAGCGTTGCAATCTAATTTAGGAGTTTTTTTTTTAACATTGCCATACGGCCTTTCGTTTCAAAATGGTGGTAGAAAAACGTGTTGCTATAAACTGTAGTGTCAAAAGTATAATTTTTTAATGAAACTTGGCTAAAGTCGTCCCCTTGAAACCCTTTTAATATATGAACATAAATTAAAGCAGAACATTTAGCTTGGAGCAATCTATCTACACAACATTGAATGCTTCAATAGTACGAATGGAGCAAATGGATTAATCTAATCAACAACGATGCATTAGAGCTGGATACAGATAACTGGAAATAAATATCCCAAGATAGGAAGAGATTAAGAAGTATTGTTAAGGCGTTGAAAAATCTAAAAGGTAAGTAATGCCATGCCACAAGAGAAAAAATCATCATTTTTCGTTTCAAGAGAAATTCAAATTTATGGTAAGTAGTGATGAGAAGAAAAAATTTCCTTCACCCACCAAAACAGTAACTTACCAAAATTTAAATGTTTATATTTGTCAAAGAAATCAAATATTGCTTTCGACTTTAATATTTATTTTGTTTTTTCTGAAGGTGTTTTGTATTAAAATTTTATTTCATGGTTCTTATAAATATTTTTGTTTGTAATCAGTTATAAATATTATACTGTTTTATCGTACTCACCAGTTGAGAACAAAATCCATCAACAATTTATTCACACTGACCTGAAACAAATATACATCAAGTTAGAAAAAAGTTCTGAAAGTCTTATTTGATAATCATTATATAGTTAACTGTTGCTATGGGACATTTTAATCAATATACCAGGGAATATCGTGAGATTATGTAATAAAGATTGAATGAACTTTAAAATATTCTTTGAATGGTTGAGGATATCATTACCAAAAACGACATTTACAGAAAAAAAATATTGAAATTTTTTAATTATTAACTTTGGAACAACTTATTACACTTTATATGAATACAATATCAATCTAAATGCCCTTAAATGCAATCTGTATTTGGTCCATGAATTAACGAATTAACATACTAAATTCTAGTGAGAACAAATCCGAGATTCATGGTATTTCTTGAAGTAAACAACTTATATTTTAAGACATTGAACGCGCCTTTAATTCTAGCTGTAGTCACATCTATAGGCTCTTGTCATATCTCTCGTTATAACTGCTAAGAACCGCAAAACTACTGTAAATTTATTGCCTCTCTACGAAAGTTGTGAACAGTGGAATTTTCAAGTAATGATCACATGGCGCTGTATCATGGAAATAGCGCTCATGTTTTAAGGGCTGAAGAAGTTTGTAAGTGGTGTGGTCACTAATGGCATAAAGCATTTGATCCTTGAATGTTCGTATGTTCAGATTCATGGAAAGAGATATTGTTATAAATATATTAATGCGGGCACGGAAGACTTATCGTTTTAGAGCAGGAGCAAGTTTTAGATATTAAAAGTCTTGAACACTTGAACAATGTGTTTTATTTTATTGTATTTTTGACTCCCATAGTTTACTTAATAACCAGTAACTTTAAAACTAATGATTATTCGTTTTTTAGTATATTTAGGGCGGTCCCTCCACGCCCAGTGGTATAATAAAAGGCCTCTGGCCACAGATGCAAAGAACGCATACAGCGTGCAGAGCCCTCTTAACTTAAAATGCCCTTGGGCAATAAAAGGAAAGTTGAAAATTTATGTATATATACATTTATATACATACTGAATTTATTCAAGAAATTCCTGGGGGTAGGAAAAAGAAAAAAAAAAAAAATTGTTTAGTATATCATATAAATATAACGCAGATTTTCTTACCAGTTAAAATAGCAACAAATACATCGCATTATTGCAACCTAAAGAAGTATATTTAAGTTTATGATTTTGTTTTATTTAATTTCTTGTTTTTTGGTTAATCTACAGTGAAACTTCGTAGCACCTAATTAAATAGTTAAAGTTTGAATACTAACAGATTGTAAAGTCCCCAATTCCGAAAATTTATGTAAATTCAATATTTGTAGGTTACGATGAGATGAAGCTATTTACGAAGTTTCAGCCAGTTGTTAATAATTTGATAAAAGGGGTATTATTTTTCGACCTAGAAATTTCCTTTTGAATACAATATATTAATTTATGCATTAATATTGGTTATATTATATTGTGACATAATTATAACTATAATGAAATAGAAAGGGATATTATATAATGAATAAGGAAAATATTAAAAATAAAATGTTTGGGCTTATATGAACCTGGAAAAGTTGTATACATATTATGGTTACAACTTGGCAATTATAATTATATGTTAATATAAATTGGCAATAAGGCACGATGTATAACATAGATTTTTAAAGATATTAAAAATTTATTCGAACTGAGGTTTCGTTCAGTTCAAGTACAATCTTAACTATAGAATACATGTAAATTTAAGTTATACAATTTGAGTAACGAGGAGTACAATTGATTGAACAGTAGTATAATTTGTAAAATGGGGGTTGGTCCGCCGTTAGGAATTCCCTTAGTATTTAATAAAACAGTTTTAAAATAGCCATTGTAAACAACCGAGAAAAAAACAAGTGTGTAGTTCTTCATAGAAATGTATCGCGTTTCTAAATCTCCATATTATATTACATTCAGATCACTGAGCAATGAACAAATACGAGAAACAATATTTGTAATTATACTCCGCCATGTGGCATACTAACAGCCAATCGCAAATGTTGACACAGTTGCCGCTGAAGCGCTAACACAAACTGGTATAAAAAGCGAACCCTTGAAGAGAACTGCATCCACAACGATGAAGCTCCTTCTAGTTCTTGTAGCTGTCGCCCAAGCGACCTTCGTTCATTCCAAATGTCCTCCTCCTGAAGTCCTTGGTAAGTTTCAACGTTCGAATTATTATTTTACTTTCACTTACTTATGTAACATATAGTATGGGTAAGTATTGCAATCGTGAAAATTCTCGAATCTGGGTTTTCAACGGACATGTTTTGAGGCCCAAATAACCAAGTCCCGTAAAATGTGTTTGTAAGTATGTGTGTATTTGACCGGTCTAGCTGAAATACGAAATGTTGTATGAAAGTGAAATTGCATATTTAAAGGTTTTTAGATACTTGAGATATTACAGCAACATTTTTTTTAAAATCGTCTAATCCGAAATGGTACTTTTAATAATCGATACAACACGGCTCTAACAATTTTTATTAAACTAAGTATACATCAGTATATTATTAAGCAGTTTTTAAAATAATGCAGGATATATTCTCATTGATATTCTCTAACTGAGCTTAAATGGCTAATTATCGATATTAGCTTCCACTAGAGTACCTTTAATTTTTTTTATTTGAAATTATTATTGTCCAAAGGGCTCAATATTTTTGTAGGTCACTTTTTATTTTATTGATTTTGCGGTTAAATTATCAATCGGAAAAAGACAAAGTTTGACGACCTCCAGATTAAAATCGCCCCAATTCCGAGAATTTTCCTAAATCAAATATTTGTAGGTTACTTAATCGGTAAATGGTTGACTGTCGTGGATAATGAAGAGAAAAATAGTTGGGGTTTTAAGTCAAAAAAGAAGGCAAAAATAAATTATAACATTTATTTTTGCCTTCTTTTTTGACTAACCACCCCAACTATTCTTCTCTTCATTTATAGGTTACGATGAGATTGACAAAAATGGGTATGTACCACGGACTATTGTTCAAAGCATTCTAATAATTTCTAATATTGTTTTTTTAAAAATAAAGGTCTACAACATCCGTAGTGTTGAAATATATAAACAGCGTGTTTCATTCATTTCATAAAGTTTTCTTTTTCAAGAAACCAATTCTTGATTTCGTTATTACCTCATATAAAACTAGTGACTAAAAGTAACGGTTACATTTCAGTGATCAAAGAGGTGACAATCTGCGAACGGGAACAGTCCACACTGACCTGCCCCTTCGGCAGTAGTATCCAGATCCACGAGGCATTTTACGGTCGCCAGAACAACCACATCTGCAGACATCCCTCCGCCACCGACGGCAGCAACATCAACGAGATCTGCTCCTCTCCTAATGCTCTCGAGAATGTCAAGAACAAGTAACTTATTAATTAATTAATAACAGGTATATTGAACGCGTAGTTTTAACTGTTACAAATAATAACGTATATTTTTGCAGATGTAACGGGCACAGAGAATGCAACATATCTTCCGCCAGCAACTGGTTAGTGGACCCCTGCAAGAACACTTACAAGTACCTCGAAGTGAGCTACTCCTGCTCCAAACCACAATACAATATTTGAAACTAATAAATGAATTATTTGTGTTGATGTCATCACCATATTCTTTACAATAGTAACTATTTCACATACTGAATGCTCCAGTTTCTGAATAAATTAAAATGAAAATTGTAGAATTTGATTTTTTCATTTAATCCCTATACAACTTATACTTTTATTTATTTTATAACTATGCAACATATACTCTGCCAAATGCAATAAAATATCAACAATACTTCTTAAAATATATTGAAAAATAACGTGCATAAAACGAATGAATAAAATGATATAGAAGACATATTAGTTTTGTTTTTATTTACGTGTTTTATAACAAAGCTCACGTTTTGGTGCCGAGGGACTTTTAACGCTGGCTTTAATCCGCAAATATGAATATGGAGGGAGGTAGGGAGCGAGAATAATTCACCTTAAAGACACCTCGAGGAAAATTCCAGGTAACACAGGATTATTTTATTAGGCGTTCAAAAACAAAATTAAAAGATATGCAGCTTCTATATAAAGTTACAGAGGAAAGACGAGAAAATAGCACAGAATGACAGGAAAAATTTTGAGATACTTGCGGATTATTTTGAAAATTTACTAAACTGAAAGGAACCTACAACCAAACTAGAAACGAATTCAGACAGTCCAAGAAACCTGAATAGTTCACCACCGACGAGAAAATTAAAGGAGATCGTATACTTTGTCGTATAATATGTTAGATTCGTCTTTCCTATGTTAGCAGAAACACAACTTATTTTAAAGAAGAACTAAATGTATTTTTTATTATTTAATTTTTCAAAAGTGTATAATTATAATTGTTCCTACTGTACATAGTTTTAAGTTTCTTGTCATAGTTCTAAGTGTTTTGTATACAGATATTTTTTTGTATATAGCTTGTTTAACTAATATTTTCTTTATTTTCTCTTTTTTTTTATTATTGTTTTATTTTGGCCAGATGTAGTCTTTTAGTTATGTACTATTTTGTTATTCTTAAGGAACTTTATCCCAGAATAAAGTTATTTTCTATTTCTATTTCTATTTCTACACAATAAAGCGGCTGGAGAAGACGGAATAATATCTGAAATATGGAAACAGCATTGATGCAGGAAATCTGGGAAAAGTAAGAAAAACCAGGATCGTGAAAATCAACACCAATATATCCGCTGCATATAAACAGGACGAAAACCACCAGTAGACCCAGGATTCAATTTTGAAGGGGAAAGGAGCTTGAGCCCGAAAGCTTATATTTTGTTTTTTGTATTTATATAACGGTACAATATGTAATTTTGTATAATATGTAAGATATTTGTATAATATTTAATAACATTGAAAAATAAAGAAAGAATCTAACAAACGAAAATAGTTCTCTCCATGTTTAAACGATGGTCCTAGTGATGCCACATGTTTGGATAGAAACGTAGGCAAACATATTAAAATAAATTTCACTGTAATTCTGACAATTTTATTTCATTTTTATAATTTTGCCCATATCTAAAAATACATGACTTGGTCTAATTTTACTGAAAAATAATAAATATTAAAATTGAGGATAGGATAGATAAACGACTTTTCAGGTATTGGAAGTCAATCAAGCGTGAAGATTTGCAACGTTGGAATAGATCTGACAACGGTGCACAGTACTCGAATCGCTTTTAATTGATTAAAAAACGAAATATTAAAAATCAAAAATGGATGTCATTATATTTATTTAAATTATAAAACTATTTATATTTATATTTCCATAAATAGAAAAAGAATAAAATGAGATAGTATCATTATATGTTTTATTTCCAATTATCTAGTTATAAATAAATAAATATTTTATAATAAAATGTAAGTTATCAAGCCATAAGTTTCAATGGAATTTCGCGGCAACTTAATTTTTCTACTAGCTGTGAATTTAATAATCCTTTAAAATCAGCAAAATTCTTCCAGTTTCATGCCTACAATCTTGAATAAGGTATCGAATAAATATAAAAATAAAACGTAAAGCCTGTAAAACAAAATGATATGCATGAAAAATATTTCAACCAGTAGGTATATTATAAATAAAATAATATATTATATAAAAAATGAAATAGTTAAAATACATATTTCATTAAACTAATGAATATTTGTAAATGTTTAAAAATTCTGTACAAAGTTACAATCTATTTTTATCCTAATTAAACTTTATTTATTTAAATATTTTGTTATCTCTCTAAATTGCTTATAAAGAATGGTATTATAATACATAATTTTATTATAGTTCAGTGCCTTAAAAAAATATTAATAAATTATAAATTATTATAAATATTAAGTGAGAAGGAATTAGTCGAGGGTGCGGTCAAAAAAATAAAAAAAATTAAAATATATAAATAATTTTAATATTATAAATATATTATTAATATATTATAAATATTAAAAAGGAAATAAAATAAATGTCTAACTAAATTATATAAGTAAAATTTTGCATATAAAAATGACTTAATTTTATTTTTATTTAATGTTTTAAAAACGAATATTTTTTTTTAATGATATATATATATATATATATATATATATATATATATATATAATGATGTAGAGATGGTTGACCGTTGATATGATATGAGAAGGAGTTAGTTGAGGGTGCGGTCAAATAAATAAAAAAAAAAATTAAAATATATAAATAATTTTAATTTTTGCCGACGTTTCGACCCACTTTGCAGGTCGTCTTCAGGGCTACAAAAGATACAAACATGTTGAAAAAATAAAAATAAAATAAAAAATAAATATAAGTATATATAAATCACGAAGAAGTTGTCAGATACAGAAATAAAAGATAAATAAAATAAAATAAATTATTATTATTATTTATTTTATTTTATTTATCTTTTATTTCTGTATCTGACAACTTCTTCGTGATTTATATATACTTATATTTATTTTTTATTTTATTTTTATTTTTTCAACATGTTTGTATCTTTTGTAGCCCTGAAGACGACCTGCAAAGTGGGTCGAAACGTCGGCAAAAATTAAAATTATTTATATATTTTAATTTTTTTTTTTATTTATTTGACCGCACCCTCAACTAACTCCTTCTCATATATATATAGGGAAATATATATATATATATATATATATATATATATATATATATATATATATATATATATATATATATATATATATATACACACAACTATACCACTGATGATCATAAGCATAGTTTTTGTTTCGAGCAAGTTTCTAAACTCAGCGCTAATTTTACTGAAGGATTTCAATCAATCTATATAATCCAGAAATGATAGAGTGCTCTTTATGCTAAGATTAGAAACGAACTTAGGGATTCCAACGAATGGTTTCAAAATAATTAAAAGAAATATTCAGAAGTATGTTGTGTGTAATTTTAATAAAACAGAAATAAATCTGGGTAGAAAGTAAACTGAATACAAATATGTAAATTAAACTGAGAAATAACACAAATGAGGCCACACCGCTCATCAATTAGTGATTTAATCATTGCATTAAGTAACGCGCTGAATTCCATCCATGATTCCCATCATGAAGTTTACGTAGAGTTTGATTTCCGAAAATACCGATGAGCACAGCGCTGATTTCAGGAACTTTATCTACACGTCTTTCTACTGCTATTAATAATAATACATTTCAATGTTGACTGAATTACACAAATCGCTGAGGTTTATATCGCGTGCCGATGATGGAATATCGAAATAATATTTTTTTATGTTTTTTATAGAACATAAAGAAAATCAGAACTTCGCGCTCTTAATGTATTTTTAAGAAAGATCACCAAGAATAAAAATAATTAATAAGCCAAAGATTGGAGTATAATAAAATTGATTAAATTTCGGAAACAAATTAAACTTAAAAAGCACTAATGTCCAAATTTTAATTTTAAAAAATTTATTATTATAATTATATATGTGTGCATTAATTGGAGGCATCGGTATCGAACTGTTGGGTTTTCTAAGCTTATATGCTTAGAAACTCCAACAGCGAATAAATGCGAATAAATTCCATTATATCTACTTTGATTATATTATTATTAAAACACTTTATTCAGAAATATTACAATTTGTCACAGTTAAGGACACTTATAATAGAGTTCAGAGATTGCATTCATACCGTATATACAAAAATATAAATAAATAAAGTAATAACAAAAGAATAAGAAGAAAGAACAAAAGAGTAAAGAAAAAAAATAATATATATACACATAAGTAAATAAAAATAGAAATAAAAGTAAAACAAACACCTTATATAAAACATACATTATTTACAATTTGCCAGGTGATCTCCGAACCAATCCTGTCCCCTCCACATGTGGAGGGAAAAGGGAGGCCTAGGAGATCCCTACGCTTCTCCCTCAGCCACTTCACTGGTATTTTAAACCAGCGGAGGATGAGTAAGAGCGCTACAGCCACAGACACTCATGACTTGAGTGGAGAATCTGGCCATTGCTAGATCTCCAAAATATCCATATTTACAAAAGGTCTCGTGGCCACTGCCGCTTTAACCTACGAAGGGGATTGTAGGGATGGGTGGTGCTTGATAGGGATTGTACAACGGGATTTGGGTGATGAGAAAGGTTCTGGTGAAATTTGGAAAATTTGGCTGGGATAAGATCAAGAATAAATGGGATATTAAGGTCATGATGTAGGGTTTTATTGGTTACATAGAAGGGAGCATTGACTATTGTACGGAGGACTTTAGACTGAAAGGATTGAATGCGTTTGATGTTAGAAAATTTGGCTGTTCCCCATAGTTCTAGTCCGTAAGTCCAGATGGGTTTCAGTATTGTCTTGTAGATCAGTAATTTGTTTTCACCAGAAAGTTTAGATTTTCTATTCAGTAGTCTATATAGCTGGCCATATCTTCTGTTAAGTTCCTGTCTTTTAAGTCGAGTATGTGGATTCCATGTTAGTCGTCTGTCTAAGAGAAAGCCAAGATACCGGACTGTATCTGAGAAAGGAAGCTGGATGGAGTTAAAATAAACTGGTGGGCAGGTATTACGCCGAAGGGTGAAGGTAATGTGTTTACATTTAGATTCGTTTACCTTACTTTGATTATATTATGATTATTATATTTCTTATTAGAAATTGATAGTTTATAAATATTTCAAGGTAAGGCAAAAAAAATTATTCAATTATTTA